CCTATCGAGTCCTTACCCAGGACCTGGGATAGGCAGATGTGGATGTTTGATGGTATTACAGGTATCGTCGCAGGATGGAAGCAGTTCCTAGTAAGGCCGCCTTTTGCAATTGACTAATAACGAATTTGTCAATGCCAATGGTGTTCAAGTGGTGCTCCAGTTGTTTTGGGATTGCACCCAAGGAGCCTATTACTATTGGTACTACCCTTGCTTGCTTTTGCCACAGTCTTTCTATTTCTATTTGTAGCTCTTTGTATTTTGTTATCTTCTCCAGTTCTTTCTCGTCTATTCTGCTGTCTCCACGCACTACCATGTCCACTATCCAGACTTTTTTTGTCTTTCTTATTGACAATTGTTAAATCTGGGGTGTTATGTTGCAGGTGCTTGTCTGTTTGAATTCTGAAGTCCCAGAGCAGTTTAATTTTATCATTTTCTATGACTGTCTCTATTTTATGATCCCACCAATTTTTGCTTACAGGCAAATGATATTTTTTGCAGATCTTCCCATGCACCATTGTTGCTACTTTGTCATGCCGCTGCTTGTAGTCAGTCTGTGCAATCTTGTTGCAACAGCTTACCAGGTGGTCCACTGTTTCTTCAGCTTCTTTGTATAGGCGGCACTTACTGTCTGTTGCTGTCTTCTCAATTTTGACTTTATATGCATTATTATTATTATTATTATTATTATTATTATTATTATTATTATTATTAATCATCGCACAGTCAGCCAGATTTTCAGACTGGATTTGGCATTTTGTCTACTGATCGAGTCCTTACCCAGGACCTGGGATAGGCAGATGTGGATGTTTGATGGTATTACAGGTATCGTCGCAGGATGGAAGCAGTTCCTAGTAAGGCCGCCTTTTGCAATTGACTAATAGCGAATTTGTCAATGCCAATGTGTTCAAGTGGTGCTCCAGTTGTTTTGGGATTGCACCCAAGGAGCCTATTACTATTGGTACTACCCTTGCTTGCTTTTGCCAGTCTTTCTATTTCTATTTGTAGGTCTTTGTATTTTGTTATCTTCTCCAGTTCTTTCTCTTCTATTCTGCTGTCTCCAGGCACTGCCACGTCCACTATCCAGACTTTTTTGTCTTTCTTATCGACAATTGTTAAGTCTGGGGTGTTATGTTGCAGGTGCTTGTCTGTTTGAATTCTGAAGTCCCAGAGCAGTTTTATCATTTTCTATGACTTTCTCTATTTTATGATCCCACCAGTTTTTGCTTACAGGCAAATGATATTTTTTGCAGATCTTCCAATGCACCATTGTTGCTACTTTGTCATGCCGCTGCTTGTATCAGTCTGTGCAATCTTCTTGCAACAGCTTACCAGGTGGTCCACTGTTTCTTCAGCTTCTTTGCATAGGCGGCACTTACTGTCTGTTGCTGTCTTCTCAATTTTGACTTTATATGCATTTGTCCTTAAGGCTTGGTCTTGTGCAGCCAGAATTAGTCCCTCGGTCTCTTTCTTCAATTTTCCTGCTCTTAGCCATTGCCAGGTCTTGTTATTATCTGCTTTCCCAGCTATTTTTTTCATGTATTGGCCATGTAGTGCTTTGTTTTCCCATGCCTCTATTCTGTTCTTCATTTGGTCTTTCTTGTAGGCCAGTTTGGTCTCTCCAGTAGTCAGTAAGCCTTCCTGATATACTAATTTCAGTGCATCTTCATCATTGTTCTTCAGATATTCTTCCAAAGCCATTTTTTCTTCTTCAACCATCTGATGTACTTGTAGCATTCCACGCCCACCTATTTGCCTTGGTAGATAAAGTCTATCAATGTCACTGCATGGATGAAGGGCGTGATTCATTGTCATTATTTTTCTGGTCTGCCTATCCATTGCTTTTTGTTCTGCTTGAGTCCAGTCCACTATTCCAGCTGTGTACCTAATGACTGGGATTGCCCAGGTGTTGATTGCCTTTATGGTATTTCCTCCATTGAGTTTGGACTTTAAGATCTTCTTCACTCTCTTGATGTATTCACCTGTAACCTTTTTCTTGACTTCAGTGTGCTTGATGGTGTCAGCTTGAAGGATACCCAAGTATTTGTAGTAATCTTCCTCATCCAGACTCTTAATGTTATTTTCGCGGGGCATCTTGATTCCTTCAGTTTTCACTATTTTTCCTTGTTTGATAGCAAGTGTGGCACATTTGTCCAAGCCAAACTCCATTACAATATCTTGGCTATATATACGGACAGTGTTGAGCAGCGATTCTATTTCAGATGATGTTTTTCCATACAGCTTCAGATCATCCATATAAAGGAGGTGGGATAGTCTGGCAGATGTTTTTGATGTTTGATAGCCATGTCCTGAGTTATTCAGTATTGTTGACAGAGGAAACAGTGCAATAACAAATAGTAATGGTGATAATGAATCTCCTTGAAATATTCCTCTCTTGATATTAACCTCTCCCAGTCTCTCACCATTGATCTGCAACTGTGTCTTCCATTGTGCCATCGATCTTTGCACAAATTTTCTGATGTTTCTACTGACTCCTGTTATTTCTAGGCACTTGATTATCCAGTCATGTAGCAGAGAGTCAAATGCCTTTTTGTAGTCAATCCATGCCACATTCAGGTTGGTCTTCCTTTTCTTGCAGTTTTCCAAGATCATTTTGTCTATTAGGAGTTGATCTTTTGTTCCTCTGCTATTGGGGCGGTTTCCTTTCTGCTCAGGTGGAAAGAGATTGTTTTCAACTAGATGCTGTTGTACTGCATCAGCTACCACACCAGTTAGTAATTTGAAAGTTGTTGGTAAGCAGGTAATTGGCCTGTAGTTACCTGGTGTTGCCCCTTTTGCTGGATTTTTCATTATTAGGTAGGTTTTCCCAGTTGTTAGCCACTTTTCAATTTCTTCTCCTTGTAGTATATTGTGAACTGCTTGGCAATGAGTGGGTGTATAACAGTTAGATGTTTCAACCAAAACCCATGCAGTTCATCTTCACCTGGTGCTGACCAATTTTTGATTTTCTTTGCTCTTTTTTCTACCATTTTTGTTGTTATTACTAGTTCTTTCATTTCAACTTCTGTTTTATTTGCATCCACCTCTTTTAACCAAGCCGCATCCTTGTTGTATTTCTTTGGGTTATCCCATATCTGCTTCCAGAACTGCACTGTTTCTTCCTTGTCAGGTACTGACTGATTCCTTGCAGTTTCTCCATTGATGGATTGGTAGAAACGTTTCTGATTGGATTGAAATTGGAGGTTCTGCCTATAGTTTGCAATTCGAGCTTCATATCTACTGATTTTCCTGGCTATAGCTGTTATTTGTTGCTTTATTATTTCCAGTGCTTCCTTGATCTTCCTTGTTTCTAAGTGGTATTTCTTGATTAGGTATTCTTTGGTCTTCTTGTTCTTCAGCTTCTTTTCTTTCATCTGTTCTAGCTTGCTTGCATGTGATCTTAACTTGCTGATCTTATTTTCTAGTCTAACCTTCCATTTTTGTGGTGCACTGTTTGTTTGTTTTTCTTCTTTGTTGATTTTGCATCCCAGGTATTCTGTTATAACTGCAGCTGTGCTGTACATTAGTTGGTTTGTTTCTTGCAATGAATTGGTGCTTATACTTGATATTGCAGTATTTGCATCTTTTAATGCTTGTGCTAGCTGTTTCTTTGGAACAAGCTTCAATGCAGGCAGCCTTATTCTGTTGTTTTTGTGCTGTTCTAGATGCTCAGTTATTCTTTGTTTCAATTCTTTTATTTCTTTAGTTAGAGGGTTTTGTTCTTCCTGAGGAAGAGGTGCCTGGTTTCCAAATGAGAACAGTTGTATATCTCTGCTGGATTCCTTCACTGCCAACTCCCCCTGGTTTGCCTCTACATTCTGAATTACTTCTTGTAAGGCTTTGATTTCTTTGCCCTGGGTAAACCTTTGCAGTTCGTCCAATTCTGTTTCTGTGAATACTTTATTTCGTGTTATAAATCGGCGTTGATCTGCTAGTCTCTGTTCTGTTATTTCTGATTCTGGATGTTGTTCTTTCCATAACTGGTGCATTCGTTTTAGATATCCTCGTCTTGTTGGACTTGATCTGTAGTAACAGATCATTATTTCTTTGTTTTCCATCACTGTGTATCTGCGACGGGTAAACACCTTTTCTTCCAGTAGTTCTGCAGCTGCTGGCCCTGGTTGCTCAGCCAACAGTCCTGAGTCCTGTAACCCATTTTTCACCAGATATCCAGGGACTCCAATATCTAGCGCGGACCTTGTTAACCTGGGCGACATCGAGCCGGTATGGCATTCTGAAATTTACGTCTCACCATATTTTTTATGGGAGAGACACTCTTTGTCTGACTCCTCTGATGAGACCTATCCAGTATGGTTGAACCTCTGGCATAGCTCTCATCTTCCTCAGAGTACACAAGCCCCACAACCACGTCAAGGTAGTGCCTCACTGGGGGTTTATTATTATTATTATTATTATTATTATTATTATTATTATTATTATTATTATTATTATATTTTGCTATCTCTTATGTTATTGATCACCAGAAGAGTTCAATTACAGCAGTGTACCTGCATGACACATTATGAACTTCTGACTTGTATTACTAGTAAAGTGTCTACCTCTACTCCAAGATACATTAACATTCAATGATTATTCTTTCCAGTAACTTTTCACAGGTCTAGTAATTTAATTCTTATTAAATGCTGACAGAACGGAATTCCAATAGGCCCCAGCATTAATCCTATGTTGAAAACTCTAGTATTGCTGTTTCATTGCTATAGCACACAATCTATCGCAAAAAATATTTTAAAACACAAAATGTTGGAAATGCAGCAATACTGAATTCATAATATATTCTATAGATCGAATGTTGAAATCTTTTATTTGCAACTGGTGGCTGCTTGTTGCATCTGATAGCATGTTTTCAACCAGAAGGTTTCCAATTAAATGAAATTTCAACTAATACACTTTCCTTAACTTAATGAGGCTTTTTTTTTCAGAATATGGCTCCCATTTAGGTTTTTGATTTGGCGAAAGCTCATATTTCTTCATTTCTTTACCAGTAAAAAACTGAAATCCCTGAAGATGTAGATGAGCCTGTATCTAAAAAGAACTTGACACATTGGTAAGTCTGATAAATGTTGGAAGCAGATGTGAAAAGAGATTAGAGAATAAAAAATTATTTGTAATTTTTTCTTTTAATCAGACATAAAAATTGTGCATGCCAGTACACATTGTTTTAAAGAAAAAGCTTTTCATTGATAGAAATTTAGAAATAAATATAAGTACGTTAGAGCAAGCTAAAGCTTCCATAAATTAGTTTTCGTTCCCTACAGTGACAAGCAGGATATAACTCCCCAAACACCCCTTTGCTAGTGTTTTCCAGCAAGTTAAGAGGCATATATAGGATATATAGCAATAATTACTACTCTTGAAAGCTTTATTCACTTGATCTTCTATGAAAGCTACCTCAGTTAGTGAGGGTTGCTTTACTTTGTGAGAACGCATTCTGCACTATCGTGAATATCTATCCATTCCTCTTCAATCAATATCTCCAGGTTCCAATAAGAAAAAGTTAGAAAAACATTTTATCTACTTTTTCTCTACTCATTTTGGAAATATATCCTTTCAAAGCTTATTTTTATCTCATGCTTTTCAGAAAGTTTAAGAACAGACATAGGTTATGCAAAAGAGCAATAATAGCCAGCACTTCCACTTATAGTATATACATTAAGGCAAATGGAAATTCATAAACGGTTAGATAGTCTATATTATTTTATCTAAAAGTGAGAACATGAAGGTTTTTTTTGCTTTTTTTCAGGCAGTAGAGTGAAGTGTCTTTTATTTGGTTATTGTTTCAACAACAAGTTTCATACTTTTCAAGAGAAGGGTTGAGCTGTTTCTTTTATGTGTTCATAAAAAGGCAATAAAGTCAACTTCAATTTGGTTGTCATGCCTAAAGCATTTGTTTACGCTACTGAACTGTGGCTTGCAAAGAGAAAGGTGCACAATTTGGTTGTGGGAACCTGCCAGATTAGGGGGGACTTTGAGGCCCCTACAAATGAAAGGGCTAGAACAAAAAGAACATGAAGAACATGAAGTTTTAAGAGGAACATAAAGAACAAAAAGAACATGAAGTTTTAAGAGGAACATACCAAAGTAAATGTAAGGGAAATATTCTTAAAACTTACACAATGGAAAAACCTAATTTTGATTATTAGTCAACTACTCAAAAGTGTAAGCAAAGTAACCAAGATATTTTTTTTCTAGAGATTAGTCTATTTAGAAAGTTTTGACATTGAATATAACCAGTGAACAGATTATTATGACCCAGTAGTCTATTCTCTTCATGTGATTTCTACATGTATTGTTTTACCATAAAGATAAGACATGAAGACATAGAATATAATGTTCTGTGTTCTTCCTTTCTAATCATCACAGAAGGAAAGACTGCATTTGTCACATAAGAAATAATGTGTTTAGTTAAAGAAAAATATTGTGTAGTCTAACAGGGTTTTCTATAGTGATCAGTCATTATCCATAACCAGGATATGGACATTTTACTACAGATGGGTAATATGCTGTCATTTGGTTGCTAACAGGGACAAGTTGAAATAAGTATATTTCAAAAGCATAAAGTTGTCAATTAGGTCACATATCAAAAGGTAGTTATGGAGTTTTCAAAGACTAAAATGGCTTGACACACAATTGACTAATTCCTAATTACCTATCAACACTAAAACATGCTGTGTTCCTCAAGGCAATGAAATTGTGCCCTTTTAACACAAATGATGATTTATCAACCATGGAGTGATCAAGCCACATTATTGCTTAATGTGATATGCAAACCCAGCCAAATTCAGTTCTTAAAAATTCCATCCTATCACAAATGCATTTTCCAAGTCTGAAGCAGAGTTGAAAACTCTAAATTTATGAGCCTTAGGTCATAACTGCATAACTCTTCAGATATTTCAATCTCAAAATACATAGTACAATGTAGTAACCAAGGAAAAGCAACTTTAGTTTCTGATACTAGTTTGCTAAGAAATATTTTTTTCTAAAATAAAACAGCAGGCAATTTGATTTAAACTTAAGTGCAACTATAGGTATATACCATTTTAAAGACTTCAGAATATATTTTTCATAGACATTGGCATTAAATGTAAGTAATTAAACTTCAGTATGTATTTTCAACTAAATTCAAGCAGGAAAACAGCTCCAGTATGGTGATATGATACAAGACAATTGGGTGACTTCATGAACATTTAAAGTAATTTAAGAAATAGAGATTTTTGGATATTTTGATCTACTTTGAAAAGAGCAAATTAGTACTGGCACCTATAACTGCCATTCTTAATGAAATCCATATGCTGTAAATGAGGAAAGTTGCTATAAACAGTACTAGACTGAAGAGAATGTATCTCTGGATAGCAACTATAGTAAACACTATATATTTTAAATGTGCAAAGATGGGAGATAATTTTCATAGTCTGGAAGAAAAGCCAGTGGCCTGAAGATTCATGAGCTCCTGATATGTACGATATACAGATTTCAGTACACTAGATTACCTCCTTTCTTGCACATTGGAATAACATTTCCTCTGAAGGAATGGAACTTTCACCAGTGCTGAATGGAATTGCAAGTTCAAACTATAGTTTCCTGAGTACTGAAGTTATTGAATAAACCCAAACATCTGTACCATTCCAGACACTAGTTGGGCTCATACATCTTAATACTTCATACAATAAACTTTTGTATTTCCCTGGTAGGAAGAAAAAGTCCTCCTTATCTGATATTTAGTGTACACGGGTCTTGTTAGATTCACTGATATCACTTATTCATTGATAAGTTGTCAAAACCAAAACAAAACAAAACAATGGTCAAGAGATGCAAATGACTGCAGATTTCCCTTTGGTAAATTGCAGATAAACCCAAGGATTAGCATGAAAATTGATGGTATTTGGCAGGAATATAGTACCAGGTGGATTTTAATACTTAACAAGCTTTTCCTCTATATCTTTCTCTGTGCAGATGCTTTTTCCTGTTCCCTACTTTTATCCACCATTGTTCTCCATCTTTTTCCTTCCCTGTTGGAAAAAGGGAGAGGAATATATGGGTATGTATTTTTTAGTGTTTCTGTGAGAGAGTAGCTTATATGAATGCAGATGAGGATCAATTAATTTTGCAAATGGGATGCCTTGTTTTATAAGCAATTAATTTAATTACTAGTTATAAATTTATTTTTTTCCTGGCTTTGTCATTTTTGGAATGTGGCTTTTGAAAGGTTTATATAGAGCCATAACTGTCTGATTATATATTATGCAAATATGTCACACACATATTCTCACACTTGGGGAAAATCTCCAGATAGTTTCAGTTAAAGTTGGTAATTATAACTTTGTTATAAGTTAGGGAGCTGTTAACTATTCATTGAAAAGAAAGCTGACTTTATGATATAAATAATGAATAAAACATTTTAACAAACATGGAGCTAAGCTGAGTATATTTTGGAAAATCAATATAAAAATTATTTGAAAGTACAATGGACTTTGTTAGTAATTATATTTCTTGATTTTAATTTTTTCAATTTTATTACTGAAGATAAAATGAACAGATTGGGTAAAAAGCAATCTTTTAATGTACTAATAATCCTCTATATGCCTTCTCTGGCATTTTTACACTTACATATCCAACAGAATTTGAAAAGGAAAGTAAAAAAAAAAAAATCAGATGGTACATATTTCAGAGAGGTCTCTGTGAAGATTCTAAAAAAGGATGTGCCTATTGGCTGTGTCCTGAAAGTGTGTATCTTTAGGTAGTATGCGATCATAGGTAATTGTGTATTAGAGCATCTGAAAAATGTAAGTGTTCATTCTTCCTCCCGTGATTTTCATGCCTAAGACTGTTACATACAGTTTCATCCATGCTCAGACATTACAGAGGTGGTTTAATCATCCATAAGAAATTACTAGCTTCTCTGTTCGTGAAGCATGACATTTCAATTGCACAGCCAATAAAAAGGAGAGCTGAAATGATTTACTGTATAGAAAGCCAGAAGACCAAGGTTACCATGGTGAGCTTACCTTTCTGTGCAAACAAGGTCAAGTGAGGGTGACCCTTCAGTGGACAGCCTTCAGTTATAACATAGTAATATATTGCTCCAACAATGGTTTGTTGGTTTCCTTTTTAAATAAGTAAAAACATTTAACCATTTTTGGAAGTGGGGAGGAAATACAAGTCTGCATTTTCAAGGTCTGCCTATCAGCAAATAGAAAATCTGTACTCTATACACATCATTGCTTATGATGACATAGCTTCCAAAGATATTTTTATGATAATCAATCAGAATTATTTATGGGCACTTAAATATATGTGTATACATAGGAGAAAGAAGGAGGTTCTAATATATTGTCTTTCATAATACATTATAAAAATTATTTCCGTTTTACCTGGGACAAAGAGATCACTGATAATAATTTCTATACAGATATGGCTAAAGAATGTGAGAGAAGGAAATAACTACAAATGTGATTAAAATATTTGAATAAAGCAGCAGAGAAGAAATAAAAGATTTTATCTAGTGCTTCTCTGAACAATATTACTGATGCAGAAAATGAAGGCTGTTCTAATGTCCCTTGAATTCCATATACCATAGGAAAACAAAGTCCTTTGGGTTATGAATCTTGGGTTTAAGAAAAAGCCATCAAATATTTAAGATAAAAATGCAGTAACACATGCTTGCTGTCATGTATAAATTTAGTGATTGTTATGACAAGGTTTTTAAAACATTCATTGCTGGAATATTTTAATGAAAATATTCATTAATTCAAACTGACATTCATATTGGGAACTACATTTCATACAGACAAAAATATCTCAATGCATAAGAGATCATTGTTAAGTCAGAAAGGTAAGGGTGAAATATATAATAATAATATATAATTTTAAATTATACATTACAAGCCATACATATTGGTGTATTGCTATATTATGTATTAAATGTAGTGAATAAATCAGGTTGATATAATTCTGATGTGGTCAAAAGGTAGAAAAGATGACAAATATAATTAGACATGTAGATGTTATCATACTATATAATTCAATGAGTATATGTTTTATGTATATTACTGTACCTTCTGGTAATAAAGATTGCATTCATTTAATATCTCAATTCCAAATGATAAACTCTTGAAAGAATATTTTTTCTGGTAGTTATAGCAAAAATCTGAGTAATCCATTTATTTAATATCTTTATAAACAGCGTTCCAGTATAAGATTAGCCATGGAACCAAAAGCATTATTGATTTCACAAATAATTTTATAATATTGCTACATTGCAATGCTGAAATAGCTAATCTAATTATTTTTTGTCGGAAACTCTGCATTTAAAGCAGTGCATGAACTTGCAAAATTATGAATGCAAACAATATTTATTATTTGTTGTTCATATTGAAACTTCAGAAAATCCTTTTTGTATGGCATTCAGGATAAAGATACAGTAATGTTTTAAAAGGGTAATCAGTAGATATACCTAGGTGCTGCAGCAAGAACTAAAGTACAGCATATATTTAAAGCATATAAACCTATAAGAGAGCCCCTTTGCTTCTGAACTGAAATGTATGCTGAGCATGCAGTTCTCCTCTGTTTATATAGATTCTAATCTATATAAACAAAGGTATTTTAGATATTGTGGTGGCCAGGAGACAGAAAAGGTTTTATTGAGAAAAGACAAAATCAAATAGTTTCTAGTGTGCATTATCTGTCAAAATTAGAGAGTTTGTTGTGGCTGAACTGATGCTAGACTCAACCCAAAGGAGCTAAGTATGTATAAATTGATATTTCTTTGATATGGAAATCCTGTGAAAATATCTCCATAAGATTAAATGGAATAAGAAACAAAAGTGATGCCATTGTGGGAGTTTATTACAGGCATCTACCCAGGCAGAAGAAGTGAATTATTCCTTTTCAAATCAACCCACAAAGTTCAAGAGGGCAGGCTATAGTAGTAATGGGAGACTTCAATTACCCTGATATCAGCTGGAAAATTAACTCGGCTAGGAGGGAGAGGTAGAACAGATTTCTTATCTCTGCTACTGACAATTTCATTTTTCAGAGATGGAAAAAGAAACAAGGGAATCAGCTCCTTGGCCTTAGTCCTTACCAACATAAAGGGATTGGTCAATGGATAGACGTGTCAGACATTTTGAGGGAAACTGCTTATGTCATGTTGGATTTTAAAATACCCAAGAGTGATAAAACTGATAGCACTCAATTACATAATCTGCTGCTGGTGAAAGGTGGGTTTCAAATCTTAAAAAATAAGTCTTAAGTGGAATGGGCAATGCTGAAAAAAATGAAATACTGAATGGAAACACATAAATGATCCCATAATAAGTAAAATTGGAAAAAGTCTGAAGACATCAATATAAATGCATAATGAGATAACAGAAAGCTAGAGAGAGAGAGAGAGAGAGAGAGAGAGAGAGAGAGAGAGAGAGAGATCTTTAGGAAATAGAAGCAGAGGTTGATAATGAGAACTGTTGGCCCAAAGCTGTAAGAATGGAGTCACAAAGGCTAACTTTCAGAGTGCAATGAGGCTAGAAAAGAATATAAAATATAAGAAGGATTCTTGAGGAATATGTCCAAAAACTAAAGAGTCCAGGTGTTCATTTATTCATGATGGGGAAAAGAGCTTGTTGAAAGAAAAAATATTATTATTTTTGACATTTGTTACAAACCTAAATTCTTTCTGTGCCTTAGCTTTCCTGACTTCATTTTTATAGATTTGGGCAGTATGCTGGTATTCTACCTTAGTTATGTGTTCCTCTTCCCGCCTTTTATACTTGTCCTTGTTGTCTTTCACTTTAATCAGAGTTCTTTATGTAGCTATGCAGTTTCTTCTGGGATCTCTTATTTTTCTTTTTTCAATGGTATTGTGCTTGACTAGGCTTTTATAATCTCATTTGCCAAGTTTCCCAAGCTTCTTGGATTGTTTTGCCCTTGAGGATTTCCAGCCATGGAATCCTTCTCAAGCTCTCTCCAAATCTGTTGAAATCAGCTCTCTGAAAATCCAAGATACCAGTTTGTCTATGTTCTATTGCTTGTGCTTGCATTATGTTGAATTCCAATATTGCATGGTCATGCTCCCCAAAAATTCCTGTAACTTCAATTCCTTCTATCATTTCATCTTTCTTAATGTGAATTAAGTTTAGCATAGCCAACATCTTGTTCCCTCCTCTACCTTTTCAGAGACAAAGTTGTCTGTTAGGTTTGTCAGGAACTTGTTTGATCTTCCATTAGATGTAGAGTTTGTCTCCTACTTGGTGTCAGGGTTGTTAAAGATCCCCATTAGTATTATGTTGTGCAAAATTTGTAAACCAATTTTAAAAGGGTGACATTTTTTATCATGGGAATTTTTTATTTATTATTTTTTGTTTGTTTACTTTCGGCCTCACTGACTATGTTATGGTTTCATAGTACTATGAAAAAAGAAGTTATAGTTTGGCTTTCATTCTTAACATTTTCCACCCAATTCTTAGAAGAAGTATTGTCAGATATTGCTAAGATCCACATTTTATTTCATTGAACAATAATTTACCTAGATTTTTTTACTCAGTTCACAATATTAAGACTTCCACAAGTATTGGATTACAGATTTCAGAACCAGTTCAGCAAACTAGATAAAATGAGAGACTGTAGTATGTCTCATAGTTCTATTGGTATTATATGGAAAAGAAGCATTTTTCAAATCAATAGTATTAATATTTATGTTCAGAATAAAGATACTTTGTCTGATAAAACCTGTAGGAATGGTACTTGAAAAAAGATTGGTTTTATCATGTAATAACTTCTTGAATTCTGAATTTTGTATTTCATTGAACACATTAAGGTTGTACTTTAATAGACATATTTTATGTATTTCCTTTATTATTGTAATGGTATGTGGAAATGAACTTGGGAGAGAAGAACTTTTAGACTTGCAAGATTCTGTCAATATAACCTTACAACAAAATAGAATCACCTAAAAATCATCATGTTTCCTGTATAGTCTACCTCATGAGGCTGACATTCGTGTAAGTTTGAAAGTATTTCTCTCTTCTGTCTCCTTTTACAACCTAAAAAACTAGGAAGGGTCTTTTCTGAGCTCTTCCCCCACCCACATTCCTGTTGTGGGCTAAGCTGCCTTTTATCTCATGGTTCCCTTGGCTGCATCTCATTGCTCTGTCTCCCAAGGTCATTCCCACATACCATTATAATTGTGGAAAATGAACATTATTTAAATACAAGTCTTTGTCTGTTCTTTACATCCGTTTGCAATAATGTTCCATTATTGGATAAAAGCCAAACATACCACCTCATTTACCAGGAATCACTTTATTATATAATATTTATACAAATTAAAAACTGTTAATAGCCAAACATTGTAATTGATTAACCTCTCTGTGTTTACAGCTCACTTTAATTGCTTAAAAATGCCATTTGTCAGTTTCATGTTCTATTGGCAATGTTATTGATTTATCTGATTTGGGCTTTGTCTTGTCTCTCGTACATAAAATTCACATATGCAGTTCAAATGGGAAATGACTCTATTGATTTCCTTAACTTGAGCCCAAATGCTAAAGATTTTTGGATAAGCTTTCTCATTACTTAAGCCAAAATCAATAAGAGAGAGCATCTTTTAATGAAAGAGCAGTTTGAGCAACGTACTTCAGAAATGGGTCCTGTTCATTCTTTGCTTTACGAATCGATCGCCTCGGTTCCTTAAGTGAGGTCCAATTGGTTGACATTGTGGTTTGTCTTTGTGTGTAAACTTGCAGCTTCAGTAAAATGAAGACAAGCTGCAGAGATAGCAAGAAGGAAGCATTTTTGCTGCAATAAAAAAATGATCTACTTGTCTAGGTACCACATTTTGAACTTCTGAGATCCAGCCATTTATAAAACTATTAAACCCAACACTTATTTACTCTTTCTTTTTATCAACAGCATTCAGGATATGATTCTTGAAAACTCTTAAACTTTCTAGTCTTGTTTCTCTGTTAGTCTTAGCCTTATAAGCAATGCAAAATGTCTTTGGTACTGCTAATTTATAGCTTTTGCTATAACAAGTTACTGTTTTATTTAGAGTTTTATGCCTTATAAGAATATCATTATTATAACTTGCTATTTTAATTAAGGCTCCCTTTTGCTGTTTACTTCAGGAATTTTGATTTATTTTCAGCATCAACAGATGGACAAGAAATATGAAAAAAACGAAAAAGAAGAGAAACTAAAGTCAGAGAGCAACAGAATAAATTTGGAATACTCTACATGTTATATGGGCAGGCCAAACGTCAGGTACTGTACTAAGATATCATTAACTGCTTTGGAGTACATAAATTAAGCTGATTATGCCTCACTTAATTAACTGAGAATGACCTATTGATGTATAGGTAGAGTAAGATAGAGACTACAGGCTGCTCTGTTTTAAATTTAGAAGTTTTCAATTAGTTCTACTATTGACAGATGGTAATGAAAGAAAAAAGTTTTCTGTGCTCAGTATTCCTGCTTTTGAAGTTAGCTGGGCATTTCTAATGTCATATTCATTTTGATTTTTGATTTTGCTTGTTTACTTCTTTTAAGTTTTAACGAACAACAAAGCTATACATTCTGAATTATTTTAAAAAATACAAATTAATCTGTATTGGTTGCTTTAAGTGAAGACTTTTATTCAGCATGTGTTTATGTTCTTTCAGTCATATTGTCTTTGAGAATTTAAGCAGCCAGCTGTATACAGGATTGCAGACTGTGCGTTTTCAGTTGACATATAATCTTGGTCTAATGGTAGTAACGGTTTCATTAATAGTCCTGATTCATCATGTGGTCAAAATAACACTGCAAATCAGAATGTATTTGTGAGCAGGAAATAGCATTAAAAGTAAAATGTGATTTTTTTTAAAAAAAGGGACTGATTGGCAATATACTTTGCACACAAAACATACTGTTTCCATTTAATAAGACTTTTTTGAATTAGGAAAGAAAATATTTAGTCTTCTAAATAATGTTTGAACATCTGGCAGCTTGAAATGTGTTGCATTGTTTGATCCAAATGGATCCTAGATTTCTCTGTAATTTACACACCCTAACTGGTAAAGATGTCTATCTTCTATCTTGGTATTGAATAAGATGTAAATACTGTGATCAGTATCTGAAAGGATTATTAAAATGTGGAGAAAATTTACTGAATTTTAATTATTTAAATTTCTTCAATATGAGTAACTGTTAAAAAGTACTTGTAACAAAGTTAACAAGGAAATTACTTCTCATCTCAAAGTAGTCATATATTTTACCAATGATTGTATATGCCAAATATACTTCACTGGTGAATGTTACATTTCCAAGGTGAGTACAAGTAGTCCTTGACTTACCACCATTTGTATTTACGATGGTGCAGCATCCCGCAGTCCTGGGATTGTCATTCGCAGCCTTCCCAAGGAGCCTCTGACAAGCAAAGTCAATGGAGGAAGCCAGGTTCACTTAATGACCGCATGAGTCATTTAACAACTATAGTGATTTGCTTAATAACCATTGCAAAATTGTCAAAAAATGAGGAATTAATCACTTAAAAACTGCCTTGCTTAACAACAGAAAATTTGGGCTCAATTGTGGTCAGAAATATAAGTCTACCTTTATCTGTTTTATCTGTTTTATATAAAATATCCCAGGACATGGGATATTTTATCCTGTGTAAGATTGGTAAATAGTTCATAATTTAGAATGACTAAAATTTCATCAAAGAATGATAATATTTAAGCAATGTAAGTTTTCTTTCTTTCAAGTGTGATACCAAACTTTACTTGGTAAAATCACCTTCTTCAGTTGGCAGAAGTTTGCAAGTTGTTGGAATTAAGAATATTTTTTCTCTCTGGAAAACTTCAGCATTACAAGTTGTGATGCTAAAAAGAATACAATTTTCTTTCCTTTTATTTTGCTTGTGTAATTAAAAATCCAAATATTAAAAGCTTAAACTTGCAGCTTTCTCATTCTGAAATTTGTCAAGAAAAGGAGACAGCACAGCAATCCTGGTTGCCACTGTGTTCCTGGGTAAAATTCAAGGTACTGGCTGTCACCTTAGAAGGCCTTTATGACTTGGGACCAGGATCCATGAAGATCATTTTCTCCCAGTTTTCAATTTGTCCAATCTAGTCTAGCAGGATAGGATAACAAGCCAAGGAATATTGGCTGGCAGGCACCAGATGATATGTCTTCTCAACCATTCTTCCTCCAGAGATTAGGTTGGTCCCAAACCTGCTGGTCTTTCAGAAAGACTTTAGGACCTGGATATATGTTGGGCATAAGGTTCCAAGTGGGTGAAAGACTCTTCGTTTCCTGGTTATGCTGATACCATTGATTATAATGTACCTTGGCTACTATTTATATTTAATTTCTTTTTGTGTGCAGAGTTTAACTGTTTTTAATGATTGTTAGCCACTCAAAGTCACTGGTTTGAAAAGCATGGTGATAAAACAAACAAACAAACAAACAAACAAAATAGTTATCAAAATGGTATTTTCCAATTTTTGAAGTGACAAGGGGAAAGTACTATAACACATTTGTAGGTGAAGGAATAACCCCTAGCAATTAGATCTTTATAACACAAACTAAGATTGGCTTATTGGCTTATCAAGAAAAGAAAGTAACATGGGTATAAAGTATAAAAGTCCTAGAGTGGACATTTTAATGTTGCAATCATAAACATTATTTTAGCACATTTCAAGGTAGATATTTCCTTGTACCTTATACAAATTCCAATTCTCCTACACCTAGACTTACTGCAAAGATGTCCATTTCTGTGATAAATGATGTAGTAAAATCTAAGATATTCCAAATTGGTGCACTACACAATCTTAGCTATAATACATTAAAGACATATCATACTCTGGGAATTTGATTACAGTATTTCTTGTGGTCATCTTTACGAGCATTGTAAGAGAAGCTTGGGTATGCTGCAAAATTTATCATAGATAGAGTAACTTAATAATTTTTTAACTTTAGTGGTAGAAAGTAGACATATCTCTGCATGTGTCTCTACTCCCTCCCTCCTGCATCCTTCCTTTGCTCTTTGGTGGTTCATGTTCTGTTGCTCTGTTCCATTAAAGTGTCATACCATCCTATAATTTGAGAAACATGATAATTAAAACCTAATATTTTTGTTCACCTGAGTATTGTCATCAATCTTACAACAATATCAGAGGGAGCTATCAGATGATAAATGACATTGTTCTCCAACATAATGCCCTCAGAATTGGATAATAGATCCCATTATCCCCAGCCAGTACACCTAAAATTGAAAACCAGTTCACTATAACTAGGTTACAATGTTGGTAAAGCCCATTAATAGTATCATATTACAATATTATTAGGAACCAAACCACAGTGTAAAGTCATTCACTTTAAGGACCACAAAGCAATTTTGCCCAGTAATAAAAGATTGGACTGATGTCTGCTTCTCTTGATATAAGAAGAGTTTTTAATAGAGCAAATAATAAAAATGCAATAATCTGCTGGATCATTTTTTCTTATTTATTAGCAATAATGTAAAACCCAACAATTCTGGAAGATAATTTATTATAGATTTTTCTTAAAAAAGTAAAGTCCTCTTTTCTACTACTTGTCTTTCTGTTAAACTTATCTAAGGCCCATATTCCTACAAAGTATATTGAAGTAGACTTTGCATAATTTAGTTCAGTATATATTCAATACACAATAATATATTGTAATAATAAAGGGCTGCAGCAAAGTAATAAATGTGGCTTCATATTCAGATGTTAGTGAAAACAAAGAGGACCCATATGAGAAAGAGGACAATGTCACATAAGAAGAATATAGACCGGTAGACTAGATATGTAGAACTAAAAGGAGGAATTCCAAATGAGCTAATATTAGGAAAGTATGTACGAATAATAGAAACAGCTTCTTTGGCTATGTTCAGAATGAAACAAGAAAGTGTAAAAGTTGCTAAATAAAGAAGGGGAAATTTGAACAAGTAATAAAAAAGTCAACGCTACTCTGGCTCAGTGAGCTTCCACAAGTAGGGTAGGATGATAGAACAAGTTTGAAGTTTGAGACTCATAGTAAAGACCGTGCTACTATGAATGAGTTTAAATCTCCAGAATGAAGTTACTTTCATCCTAGAGTACTAAAACAACTGCCTAGTCTGCTCAAACTCTTCTGTATTATTTTGAGAAATCCTCAAAATTAATGAGAATGAGAGATTAGAGAAAAGCAAATGTTGTCTCTAACTTCATAAATGGCAGTATGTGCGTGTGTGTGTGTGTGGTGATCTGAATCAATCTGACACTGCAGAACAATCAGTCTGACACTGATACCAGGTAAGGTTTTAAAGATCTTATAGAGAACAATTTGCAAGATCCAAACAGAAATGGAATAATTATAAGACATCAGTATGGATTTGTGAAGAACAAACATTTGATTTATTTTATTTTTATCATGAAAATATTTAATATATTGTGGAAATGCTATAGATATACTGTAACTTTACAGAAGCGGTATAACAAATACTGACTTCTTTAAAGTATTTGATGAAGTACTCCATGATATATCATTAGCATAATAAATTCTTCCATTTTGAACCAAATTTTATATGAGGACTTCAAGCCTTGCATACATGTTTTAAAACACTGTTGTAAAGAAATATTCAACAAACTAGTTTTCCAGATACTATTTCAAATCATGTCCCACCTGATAACCATAATAGGAAATATATTAGAGAATTGAAACTTTTAAAAAGTTTGGTTAAAGATAAAAAAGAAGGTATGTTGCCCCGAATCTTAATTAGTAATCTTTCTCCATTTTTGGTTTTATTGTTTAATCCCTAGAAACATACAATTTAAATTCAGAAGCTTACATAAAAGAATGTTTCCTACAAAGTATCAACAAGGTATGAAAAAAAATGGGTCATTTGAGCCACACCATATATTGAACTAGTCAGGTACTTCATTAGGGATAAAACATTGTTCAAAGGATCTCTCTTGGTAACATGCTGATAAAATAATTCCTATTTTTTAAAAAATAATTATGGTTTGAAATATTTCAAATGAGGTCTATGCATTGGATTATGAAATCATGTTAGGTAAGATCACAAGGAACAAAAAGACCATTTCAATTTCTTAAGCCAAATAGTTATGCTGAGAGTTTTAGCAAGCTAGAAAAACAAATGAGAAGTGAAGGAAAACTAAGATAATTGCCCAGACTAAAAAATGATGATAGGTTTTGCTAATCGTAATGAGTGTGGATAATATTTGGAATAAAGGGTAAAAAGACATTTCTTGACCAAT